TGAGCGAGAGGCACACAGAGCTACTGGTCTGTGTGCTCAAAATTCAAGCTTGTGTGTACTGGTCATGGTGAGGTGTCTCTGCATTTTTGTGTGTGTGCGTGTGTGTGTGTGTGTGTGTGTGTGTGTGTGTGTGTGTGTGTGTGTGTGTGTGTGTGTGTGTGTGTGTGTGTGTGTGTGTGTGTGTGTGTGTGTGTGAGGGATGGTGGGAAGAGAAGGGTGGGGGTGAGCTGTCACAACTGGGAACATTTAACAAGTCCCCAGACAATTTCACCGTAATTGATTCAAGGCTACAGCCAGTTCAGCTTCACTTGTGTGATCCTTTAAAATAAAAATCTTGTTTTTTTAAATCTGGACAAATCGATCATATCCGTTAATGATCAACACTAAAAGACAAACACTATTCTTTAGAGGTTCTCCAGGGAATTATGAATAAATGGCCACAACTAGCTTCAGAAAATCCAACTAGAAGCAAATTCCCCACTTAAACCCATTAATACTGACTTTGTTGAATATGACTTATGTGCAATAAATATAAACCACTTTATAATTATTATTATTATTATGATTATTATTATGACTGGCTGATATTACATTACATGTTACTACTTGTTAGATGCTTTTATCCAAAGTGACTGACATACTCAATACTGTAGAAAATCCCCACAGGAGCAATTTGGGGTGAAGTGTCTTGCCCAGGGACACAACGACATGCTGACTGCAGTGTGGTTTGAACCTGTGACCCCCTGATCCGAACACCAACGCACTACCCCAGTGTGCCACAGCCTCTTAGTTAGATAATTCAACTACTGTAATAAATCTGTAAACAAATGTGCAATATATACTTCCACTTTTAATACTGTTACCTGGCTGCTATGAAACTACTTGATACATGCTACACTTATTTCTTTTTAATTTAAATACTGGTTTTTTTTGTGGTCCATCTGAATGTGTAATTTTGTAAATGGGAATTTGTGTAATTTATTTGTATATCTTTACTATGCCTCTTAATTTGTAGTTTTATTATTGCTATTCGTGGCTCTTTACTTTTGCTTTGACAATGTATATTTCCCCTCTGTGGGACGATTAAAGGTATTCTGATCTAAGATAAGGATGCAACACTCAGTTAACCCAGGCACACAGACAGAGCTCTGACTTTGAGGAGGTAAACAACAGCCACTCCCCCCTCTACTAAAGCCAGCTAGATCTGCACAGCACGAAGCAGGAGGAGGAGGAGGAAGAGAGGGTGAAGGAGGCAGAGAGGAGTTGCTCTAATTCCTTGATGTGTGTATATGTGTGGTTGCGTGCTCAGCCTTCCTAAAAGGAGAGCTGCTCCCCCTGGTTTCCTCTCCTCCCGTCCCTTCTACTGTGCAGGAACCTGCCAATCCTCCAGGGACTGTAAACGTTTGGTGCCTCCTCCACCCTGCACCCAGTCCTAACCGTCACACAACTTCATCTCATATCCTCCTATAAATGTGTCAAAAATGTCTGTGTTCCTGCTTTAACATTCGCCTGCAAGTTACAGCTCGCATTCCTGCTGCAAATGGCCCTATTTGTCGCAATTACGCGCAAAAATAACCACACTTGGACACTCTCCAACTACCCGCTTGCACACTTGATTCCCACCGGGGCGCGTTCACGTTACGTTCGCAGAGCTACAACATGACAAGTTTACCGGGTTTATTTCATCTTTCTGCAGCATGCACTGGGCTCTGGCTTCAGATTGGGTTAACGTTATGTCCATGTCTTCTTCACTGCAACCTACAACACATACCCCCTGCTTGACCCACATGCACCGCTCAGACTAACAACACAGCAGCCGCTGAATGAGACTGACAAGCCCGCTGTAAAAGTGCAGACAGAGCCGCTGCCCTGCCGCTAGCCTAGCACTGGTATAGCACTTGCAGCAGCAGCAAAGTGGACTTCAGCGGTCCTGCAACCCTCCCACTTTTACACATTATAATCTTTGCATAATAGTGCTAATGTATTTACCTTGATAGCAGTCAGCTTCGGATGCAGAGAAGTCCACACTCCCAGTGATTAGGAGATCATTGGGAGCCAGGCACATGTAGTTTTACAGTGGAGGGGTTTAGCAGGAGTTCAGTTTTGCCCACCCGGTGCCCTGGCAGGCTGCTAGCAGTGCTGCTAAACAGCCCCGACTCTGGATCCACGTTGGGTGACAGGACTGTCCCTTCCCCTCCCTTCCCTCCCCCTCACGGTGCGTGTTGACAGCGCGTCAGCCCTGCAAAGACCAGCCACCGAGTGCAAAAATCCGAAATAAAATCCCAAAGTGGCAGCCAGACTGAGTTGCAAGTCAACAACAACAAACACAGTGGTGGTCCTGCTGCTGCTGCTGCTCACGGGTTAGCAGGCTGCGAGGTGCGCACAACATACCTCTCACAGGAAAGCATGTCGCATTTTGCAAAAAAGCTGCCCAAACGTGGTGTCAAAATCCGACGGTGTTTTCCTCTCCGGTGCCAAGCGGTAAAGGAAGGAGGTGACGGGGGAGCAAGAGAAGGTGGCGTGAAAAAAAAAAAAGGATGCTTTATTTCCAAACGATGACTCAGAAAAGATTGCAAGCCAGTTTCGCAACGTCCCTCCTTCAAAAATAAAACATTGAGTTCTCCTCGTCTTCACTTGCTGCCTTGCCTCCTCTGTTCCTCTGCCCGGTGTACTGACGTGCACACACCGCTCTGCACAAATTCACTGGCAGGTCTTTGGGTTCAATCTCTCCCTCCCACCTCCAGAGAAGAAGAAAAAACACAACACAGAGAAAAATCAGCTCTTATCATCAGCTTGAAAACTCTTTTGGCGCCATATTTATGGCGTACTTTCAATTCACTGTTACCGCAAGCTGCACTTCCTACTCTGAGAAATGCAAGATGACTGCGCCTCGAAGAGGAAAAGATGGGCATTGAAACTTCACCTGCCAATTTTACTGCCAGTAATATAGGCTTTTTTGGGGGTGGAAAGTATTGAAATGACATATGAAAAAAGGTAATTCTGGTGAAGCTGATTATCATGTGGCAAGCTTAAAAGAAAACTATAGTTCCTAAAAATATTTGGTTTATTTTGTCATGGATGGCTCACTCATCCAATGTGTAGTGTGACAGCTTTGACACATGTATAATGTTTTAAATTAAAATTGTACAAAGTTTCTTCAGGTTTCTTAAATATACGATCACTTTAAAATCACAAATAACTTAAACACAATCTGTTTTCTATAGCTGACTGACTGGACTTTAGGAAGAATTATGTTAGAATTAAAACTCATCCACAACTTGACTATTTTTTCATTCTTACTTTGTCCAATAACTTCACATCAAAATTAATTAGCAGCTTGAGCTTCGGTTCAAAGGCCTGTAGTTGATCTTTACTGTAAGTGATCATATCTCTCCGGAGGTGATTGATTTGCTCTCAGTGATCCAAAGGGAATGACTCAGATTGGCAAGTAAATTACCTTCCTTCACATTTTCTGTAAAATCCATATTTAAAACGGGTGGATGGTGTTTTATCAATGTGTAATATACCATCCACTGTCTCTAAATCACTGCCCTCTGCCAAGCAGAAGTGCATTCACTTATAATGTCTCTACAATCTGACGTTTAAGGAGTGCAATTTTCACACAAACCCCCCGCTTCTAGATATAAAGTATGTGCAGCTTTTAGTTGTGCATCTCTTACGTGATAGATAGCGGATCAACTGCTAATTATCTCCACTCAGCTTTTTTTGTAAATGTCTTGCAAATACACATTGATGCAGAGCCAGGAGGTAGACTTCAATTAAGGTCATTCAGGAGAACAAATGGGATAATTCTCCTTGTATCAAACACACATACACACACACACATGCACACACTTCACAATTTGCACACAGCCAAGGATGTCAGTTGCACTAATACTCATATCAGATCGTATCAGGTGTCTATCCGATAGTGGAGAGAGGGAGAGGCAAAGAGGGTGTGATGCTGTTTTGCACAAAGTGAAATGAGGCAGTGAAGAACACGAAGGAGGGATTTCATGGCACACATTCAAATGCAACAGCAGCATCCCACAGTTTGCCCTCCCCTCCTCCTCTTCCACACAACGCAGGTAGGCATGCATCCCCTGAGGAAACAGCCTGTGACCCTCCCCATGGTCCTTTCTAATGTGAGGTAATGCAGTTTACTCTCTAATGAGATGCACACATTGGAAGCAGATCCCCTCATATCTGGGTCAAATAGCCTAGTGTTGTTGTGGTACTATTCCCCCATATCCAACAAATGCCATTTACTGAGAGGCAAATACAATGACAAATACAACATCAAGTTGGTGAATGTCATATTTTCTGTGAAATGCTGAATTTAAATGCTGTTTTGTCTCCTCCATTAAAGACAGACAGTGGCATTAGCAGACATGTGTCAAAAAGACAAACATCATTTACTTTTCCCTTTGTGTTTAAATACATCCACTATCTTCAGAGGTGTGTACTTTTTTTTTTTTTTAGTACTCCAGTCAAGTTAATTTGTTCCAACATGTTTTTTTAGTTTAGTTTTTGTATTCAAGGCACATAAACTCAGTCAGCGTGAGTTCCTGTTGATATTATCGAGATCACTCTCCCACCACCCCACCCACCATAACTGCAACAGGACGCAAACACACCATTCACCAACATTACACAGTTTTTCCATGACATAGGTTTCACTTGATTTTCATAACCACAGTTAACAAGATCAGTATGTGTACAGAGATGACCAAATTAATGTTTATGCGTGGAGGTGTTATAATGAAATGTGTGCACTGAGGAGATGCATGCTTTGCATCATGGCCCTAATATGTCATCTTCAGTTAGGCCTATAGATGGGTATATATAAAAAAATGTAAAACAATGCGTCAGGACCCAGGACCTGTAATAGCTGTCAGGCCCTACTGCTCCAGCATCTTTACGTGTCAAGTGCACTACATTTAATTAGACTGGGTCCCAGGGTGCAAGGCCACATTTATCTCTTTGGGTCCCAAGATTTAAGATTTTAAGCACTCCTCCTCTACAGAAAGCTAAAGTCAATGCAATGTCAAGCGTGACCTTATTTTGATAGACTGGAGTTTTAGAGATTCTGCTTTGTTTTGTTGTTTGTTGAAACTGTTCTGTTGTTCTCCCTAGTAGCCCCTAGGTGGCTGATGAGCTAGTTTTACTGCCAAGTTTTACCCCCAAAGACTAATGGTCTCAACTTACATTTCAGGTAAATAAAGGGATATTTGGGTGTTATTGATCTGGCAAGCTGTGCCTATAGGTGCATTTACTGCTGAGAATTTTTGCAATGGCTAGCCTTTTAAAACTGGCTAATTGGTACATCTGGAGCAAAATAAAGCTACAAAGATTTGATTGTGTTAGTTGTTTGTTTTTTTACCTTTATTCATCAAGAAGTTTCTAGACATTGAAATTCTAGACTGGTCAACATTCACATTGTAAAGAATAATAATAAAAATAGTAAAATACAAGATAAAACACATTCAAAACAATGTGATGTTATTTATAGATGTCTTCCACATTGAACACTTTAAGTATCTTTTTATGTTTACAGTTAAAGTTGAAGTCTAGTTTGGCTTATTATGTATAAACTCATGAGATAAAAAGTAACTCATTTAAAAAATGATCGTCTGGTGCAAACAGGAAATAACAAATAAGAATAGATAGCACTGAGACGGAAGTCTGATGTAACCGCTTTATTTTTTTATAGTGACTTTACAGTAATAAGAACATCATAGTCTTAGCTGGAATGTCAATCCAGCTTAACGTAATATTTAGTCACAAAGATTACTTGATAAGGGTTATGGAAAGATTATAGCTTGGGTTATAAAAAGGTTAAGAAACAATTGTGGCACATTTTCTTTCTTTGCTCTCCACAGAAAAAAAGTAACTTGAACGTGCAAATGCATCATTTTGTGGCATTAGATGAGACTCTTGTTTTTCTTGGGACTGTGAAAAATGACAAGAAGAAGTGCAAAACTTAGCACAATAATATTCAACACAAATTCAAATTAAAGAGAAAATAAATGGTAGAATTACTATAAAGCAATTTAACTCTTCCTGTTTTAAGGCCATAGCCTTGTGATTTGTTCTGCATAGTTGAATGTTCATTAGAGTCAGGTTTAAAAGACTTTACTTAGTGAATAACTGTAGTGTATATCCTTATACACATCTCAGTATCTTCTATAAAAGTATGTACTATAAATGGTATTTGTTATATATATAATAACTTTCTCAGCTGCCTGTCCCATTCTCCTCACATTAACCTTGATATCCACAGAAACTTTTTCAGAGTTGTTAATCTTTTCTTGTTGGCCCTCCCCTAGGACTGTGGCTGAAAGGACTACCTGTTGTCTGTGTGTTTTCCCAATTATAGTTTTCTCCTGAGTAAGCATGCATTAGGTGACTCAGCAAGAACGGCTGTCTGCCAGAGCTGCCTCGAGCGCAGTGTATTATTTCAGCATCAGTGTAAATTTCAGGCAGAGTGAGAGGGGGAGAGCGAGCCCATAAACTTAATGGGTAGGTTGACTCAATAAAGCGGCAACTTGTATGACTTGGAAGCGGCCCAATATAGGACATACACAGGAGTGCCACCGGGGGGTTTTCTGGGGGAATTTAAGAGGAGGTGAAAGTGTGTGTTTTATGTGTGCTTTGGTGTCTCCTTGTGTTTCTAGGACTCAGAATGTCTGACAATATAATATTATAGGGGCCATTTCTTACAGAACCTGGTTTAGAGCTGTCAAAGTTAAGGGTAACATGTTAAAAGTTGGTTCATTTGTGTACATGTATGCAATTATGTGGGACATTTAGTTTTTCTCGAACACAGGTCCAGTATGCAGAGGGAAGACTCACACAGCATTATATTTCAGTGTTAACCAAGTTTGTTCTTTACTCTTTTCCCTGTGGTGTATTAGTAAAAGACTCGATTCAGAGCATCAGGAGAGTTTAACCTGTCGGAGCAGTGTTTTTTTAGCCACTTGCAGTGCATGAAAGTATAATTACAATGTTCAGAGCTCCATTGGAAAAAGGATATAGCTCAAGCATGTAGGTTAAGTGAAATAAGCAACAACAAAAAAATCACCATTATTTAACAAGGTAATTGTTAAGATATAGCCACAGAAACATCCAGTGATTGGAGTTTGAGTGCCTCATAATAATGTGCTTTTTTTTTTTTTAAATCAAAATCTTTTTTTACTCCTTCTGTTTAAACCATAGACTGTATATGGTTTTAACTAGAAGGAAAAATATATATTGATACAAATGTGTGGTCGAGAGTCATTCAAATAGATACACAGAATGCCAACAGTAAAGTACCTGTCAATGTCCTTTCTTTATTTATAGATTTTACAAGCATTTTATGTATATAGTCATTGTTCTATACTAATATGTTAATATGTATTTATTATGAATACTGAAACGTTTCATACACTACTTCATTACTTGCACATTGGTCACTTGCAATATTCTCACTATTTTCATAGTTTTATTGTTTATGTCTTCAATACATTTATGGGGAATTGTTGACGGAGCTTTAAATATTTATATTGACATAAATACACTGTAGCTACTATCACAATAAAACCTTTGCATATGTAATTTAATCCCTGAGCATTATAGGATTTCAGCCATAGACTGTGTATATATAAAGAGTTTAAAATAAAATAAAGAATTAAATAAAGAGAGAACCCGGTTTCAGCCAGGTAAAGTGTAGTTATCGGATCCCCCGCTGCGTGTCGCTGTTTCTCAACACGATACCTTTAACAACACCTTCCGATACCCGCTTCCCAAACCGGAAGCTGCATTTGTTGAGCTTCCTGAGAAGAAGCAAGATGGCTAACCTGGACGTAGAAGAGTTTATTCAGCAGAACAGAGCTGTGGCAGATGAGGTGGAAACGTACCGGGGTTACTGGGAGAGCGAAAAACATTGGCAGCCGAGGAGGGAGTTCATCCTGCGGAACATCAACGACTTCGAGGAGCCGCACATTGACCAGCTGCTCGCGCTCTCCATGGTGTGGGCCAACAACGTCTTCATGGGCTGTCGGTGCGTAAACACAACGTGCTCCACTGATGCATTTGTTTTTGTGAATGGCACTTTAAAAATAACCTCTAATTTAATCTGTTCACAAGTAAGGAGTCCACTTGCAATTTTAGTTTAATAACCATTATATTGAGGATGCAACGTTACATACATGGCAGCAGAGGGGGAATAAGTACTCATATATCTTGTACTCAATTAAAAGTCGAAGTACCAGTGTGAAGGGATACCATGTTAAAACTTAAAGTCCTGCAATCAAATGGTTACTCAAATAAAAGGAGCATCTGTTATGTGGATGAGTGTTTTTGGATTCAAAATATTGTTCTTCGTCTGATCTGACAATTGGCTCACTGCTGCCCCCTGTGTCCGGAGGAGGACAAAACATGGGCTCTTCGTCAAAACTCCCATATCTTTTTATATCAAAAACAGCATGGTAGTACACAAGTTTGTAGTATATGCTATTGGTAGTACACCGGTTGCCGTTTGGATTTGTAAATGGACTGTAAATGGACTGTACTTATATAGCGCTTTATCCAGTCTTTAAGACCCCTCAAAGCGCTTTACATACTACTACTACTACTATGTCATTCACCCATTCACACCCATTCATACAGAGCAGTGTACCTTACTCTAGGACCTAACATTCACACACATTCACACACCGTTGGCCATGCCATCGGGAGCAACTCAGGGTTAAGTATCTTGCCCAAGGATACATCGACATGTTGACTGCATGGGCTGGGATCGAACCCACAACCTTCTGGTTGAAAGACGACCGCACTCCCTCACAGCCACAGTCGCCCATAGTGGCATTTGTGATGCCACTATGGATCTTCAAGAGTTTATAAATCAGATCTAATGAATAATGCAGTTTTATTTAGGACTTCTTATGCCTGCAATCATTTTCACAACTGGTTGGTTATAGCCAGACTGATGCAATGAATGTTTAACAATACTGTTATATTAATTAACATACCATTTTCCCCCCCCCATAATGACAGGTATAGCACGGAGCTCTTGGAGAAAGTAAAGGAAATGGCTGAAGGCATCGAGGTAGAGGACGCACCGGTCTTCAAGACAAGAGATGAGATTATGAAGAAAGAGGTAAACCTTTGGACAAGCAGACAGACGCACACGTCACCAAATACATTATTTTATTTATTCCTCTTTGCCATAACAGGGTCGATGACCGGTTTACCTGATCTTTCCTGGTCGCATGGGAACAAACCTGAAGACTGACGGATCTCGGATGTTGTTTGAAACCGCCTGAACCTTTAACAATGTGTTTTAACAAGCCTACACTATTTATTACTGATGTGACTAGTGTAAGCATTTAGAATTTTTTTTAAATCAAAAGCAGGACTTCTGTCTTCCTCAGCATCCATTGTTGAGTCATTTAAGTTTTTTTGTGCAGTATGGGAGCTTCACTGCTCATCCATTTCAACTCAACATTGTTTTGTAGCGAACTTGTTTTCACTATTTTTTATACACAGATATGAAAGATGAATCTTGTCCTAATGTCCCTGTCTTAAATACAATAAATGTGTTTTTTTGACTCATGGGATTGTATTTTCTTTCTTAAAAATACACATTATAGTTATTCTGTTCTGTTGGGTCTTTGTATGTGAACAAACTATGCTCGAGGTAACATTTATTTCACTTTCCTTAACACAATGCTCAGCTGTCTTTTGCTCTGTAACATTCTTGTCGTAATTGGGGCAAAAAGATAGCAGCACATTATTGTCAGTGTAGGGTTGTTTTAACATCTTAATGCTTTATCTTCAATTTGGTTGAATTCCTTTAACCATTCCGGAGAACAGGCCCAGTCATGACTAGAGAAAATTGTATTGCACTAATCTCAAATTAATTAATCTTATAGCTTCACCGATCATAGCATATAGTTAATGTTGCTTAAAATAAGGTCTTACTGCTAAGACAACGTTAAATGAGGCAAGAACACGTCTCAAACTCTGAAAAATGTGTTTTATGTTTATACAGCATATTGTCAACTATACATTTGATTAATTCACACAATCTTTATAACATATCCCTTCTCATTTTAAGTGAAATCATTTTTCTAGCCACAATATGACTTTATACTGTCAGAAAAGAGAAAATGGTTTGTTAGCTGTCTTCTGTGGGTGTTTTAGCTGGGCGGGGTTAAGTCATGACTTTATACTAAAGCTGTCTCTTTATTGGGTATCGCATACAAATAAAAAAATAGGAGACAAATGCAGGCATGAAAACAATGAGCCGTTGGGGGAACAGTTGATATCACACTGTTAAACCGGGATATACACAAGTGTCTTTTTTGATCTAGCTCACTTGTTAATTTGTCAGCTGTCATTTTTGAGAAAAGGATGACTGACACGTCGCAGGCAACAAAGCATTTCAAAGACATTTCGGCAGATGAACCCCCAGTGATAGAGGTGTACTAGAAAAGATGAGCACAGTAAAACAGATATTGTAGAGATAAATGATATTCCTTTTACCAACTTCATGCTGATTCTACTTGCCTGTAATCACAGCTTGCTACTAATGTCGCTCAAGCCCCATTAGGCCTCGATGCACCATAATACAAAGGATAAAGCACCACCATTCAAGTCAATCCTTAGGTACAAGCACTTCTGAGCTCAAAGGCCCCTCTGCCCAAATACTTTGATAACATTTCACAATGAAAGACACTTGTAGTAAATGCAGTGTTGATTACAACACATCCATTATTTCCTTTAAACTGACTGTTCTCCACAGCCCTAGTTCAACTCTGTGCCATCTTTGTGTTAATATTAACGTTCTCCTTCTCTAACACTCTTCTACCCCAGAGCAGAAATGATTGGAATAAAAGCTCAGCTATCCAGGGAGTGATGATTCATCGGTGCCAGGGAGAGTTGGCGCTGCTGCAGCCTGTGACGTCTGAAAGCCCAGACCTTTGGTGTCTCTTAAAATAACAGAGATATGCTGCGGATAGATCTCTTTAAAGCTGCAACTGAGGCTGACTTAGAGAATAACAATGATACCCACTCTGAAGGCCATTTGTGGGGTTGTTCTTTTTCCAAATGATGCAGATTTGTTCATCAACATGCCCAAGCCAAATTGTGTGCACACCAGCAAACATCACAAAAAAGGGAAATCAAAAATAAGGGGGAAAAACAATCTGTAAAACTCAAACAGCATCAATCCAACCAAACAAAGATATATTACAAATTCTGTTAGCAATAACTTAATTCACATCATGCAATAAAAAAAAGTAAAATTAAGGACAAGAAAAGACAAATATAAGATTGATTTCCCCGCCCTTGTTTTTCCTAAAATGTATTGGCAAGCAAGTGTATGTCCATTCTGGTTTGGTTGTTCTCTGGATGTTGTTTTCCTATTATTTCTTTAAGGGTGGCACTTGAGTTCTTCTGATATAGTTGCGGTTTTTTCTCTTGATGAAGCAAAAATGAAGGAGGTGATGAAGAGATGGTAGTGGGGGGGAGGGAGAGGAGAGCGAGAGCAGCTCAGACGTCCACCCAGCTCTGCTCTACGATGGCCGTCACCCTCTTCTCGTACTCCCTCTTGTTTTCCTGATAGAGCTGTGCGGCCTGACTGTTGGCCGGGCTGTTGGGGTTTGGCTCGTCCAGCAACGACTGCAGAAAGAGAGTGATAGTTAGGGAAATATCCACATAGCCTTTGTAGGGTTGGGAGGGTCTCTTGGAAAATGTATTCCATTAAAATGACTAGTTACCTGTAAATAAATGTAATCAGTAACCTAATCAGAGTATCAAAATATAAAGTAATGTAACCTGATCAATATATAATGCCATGCTAATATATAAAAGAGAAGATATATCAATAGGATGTTTTCTACTTAACGTGTATTATGCAAGACAACAGAGCAATCTGACCTTAGAAAAGAAGAAACCATGATATTTAGGATCAGAATACATTTATTTATAGGAAAACCTGCCTTTCATTAAGCATATTTAAGCAGTAGCCTATACACCAACAATGAAACACGAGCACATCCTACAGTTTAAAATAAGCAGAAATAAATCTGATGAAACAGAATAACCTCTTTTTTATTGTAATACTGCTAGTAATCCACAATGTTTTTGGAAATGTAACAGTAATCTGATAACGTCTATTTTTAAAGTAACTTTAAGTCAATATGTCGTATACCAATGCATTCATAGACGGCATACTGAAGCAATTTCAGTGCAAAGACAAAAACTGGCAGCCAAAGAACCAACCTGGATGGAGGTGAGTATGGACGACACATCGTATGTGGGGCTCCAGCGGTTCTGTAGGATGTCTAAACATATACTGCCATCTGCATAAACTGGGAAACGAGAGAAAATACAGATCCACATCACTACAGCAGTTATTATGTCACCAAGAAAGATCTCTTTACACTTTTGCTGGGTTTGTTTTGTGCTGTACTTTGCCTGTAATAGTATATCCTCTTAATATGTGTATTGCCTATTGTATGCATCAAACACCAAGGCACACTCCTTGTAAGTGAATATTTGTCAAACATGCATTAATATATCTACTTAGGCCCCGTCCACACGGAGACGAAACGGGTGTTATCCGCTATAGTTCTTTATCGTATGGATGGTTCGTCCACACGAGGCCGTAACGGAACCGCGGAAACGGAGCCATCAAACGATAACGCATCCCAAAGTGGGAAGGTCTGTTAACGTAAC